TGGCTGAAAAGTCAAACCATCTCAGTGCCAAGCAAAGCCCCTTTCAATCTTACATCAGCAACCATGTGTAAGGTCCCACTTCCAAATAAATCCCAAGAGAGGCTTAAAAGTGAGGCCAGGTGATGTGTGGCCCCGTGAGCTACACCCTGGTTTTCCTTTGGGCCCACACAGCCTACTTCCAGGACCTCTTGTTATCTGCTTCTCCCCCCCCCCCACAAAGAGACTCTAGCAGAGACAGCCCCCTTACGTCCCCTCACTGGAGTGGGGCGGTGGTGGTGCAAACCTAGAGGAGTTCTGGGTGAGACATTTTTAATGTCTGTTTGTACACATGCGCAATAAGACCTCATACAGGAGCCCCATGATTGCATGCACATGCACACTGCAGAACCCTATAGAATCTGGGTCTCTAATTTCTTGCACCATTTTAAAGGGTGGCTTTACACACATGCGTGAATCTCCCGACCACCAGTACACAAAGTCCATGCTTCTCCAAAGCACTTAAACTCCTGCTGCCTTGGTGATTGTATTGACTTGGATATTCAGAATGGCTTCTCATCCTTCTGCTTTTTACAGGTTGCACAAAGGTCTACACTAAAAGTTCACACCTGAAGGCGCATCAGAGAACACACACCGGTAGGTGAATGCTCATGGCAATATCTAATTTTCATGCCAGACTCCCCCCCAAAATAGAATTTCTTTTTCTTTCTTTCTAACTCAGAGTCTTCAAAAGGAAGATCTCTGGGGAGGGGTTTGCCCAGTTCCTCACTATCCCGCCATCTATTTCCAAAATCCTATTATTATTATCAAAAGAACAGCCTTTTATCAGTTCTGTTGTTAATTTTGTTTTTTTACAGCTTTGTGGCCTTAACCTGCAAAAACAGAAAAGCCCTGGGCCAAATATTGCCTTTTCAACCAGAACTTAAGGAGGCTGCTTTCTCTGAGCCCCACAGTGGGAATATGGGGAGAGTAAAACAGTGGCCTACTTTACTGGGGTGTTGCAGAGAGCACTGATGTAGCATACGTGAACTGCCTGGAATTCTTTGCAGTACAGTAAAAATGCTCAGTAAGATCCTCAAGGGTCAGAAGAACTGTGAGTAGGAGTGTTCGTCAGGGAAGAATGCTCGGTGCATGAGCCAGGGTTGCTAGTTTCCAGGTTGCGGTGGGCAATCCCTCACCAATTGCCCACTGCCAGTCAGCAAAGCACCGGGGGAGGGGAAATGGTGTCACCAACGCTGTGGTGTCATTTCTGGGTGAAGTGACGTCCCATTAGGGTCTCCAGCCACCTGGAATTATTCCAGACCACAGAAGTCCTTTCCCCTGGAGAAAATGGCAGCTCTGGAAGGCAGACTCTGTCACACGTCTGCTCCCTCCCCTCTCCGGACTCCACCCTCCCCAGGCTCTGCCCTTAAATCTCCAGGAGTTTGTGTAATAGCTACTCAACGATGCTCTAGAAAACTGTCAAATCTCTGAGTTCAGTGGCACCTTTAAGACCTTAAAAAGTTTTATTCTGGGTATAAGCTTCCGTGCGCGCACACACTTTTTCAGATACCATGTCCACATGAAAGCTAATGTGCCACTGACTGGACTCAAACTTTGTTCCACTGCTTCAGAACAACACGGCTACCCACCTGAAACTATCACAAATCTGTGCATAGTAAAGATTATAGAGATTTGTGAGTTTCCTAGAGCATCATGGGGGTGGATGACATCACTTCCAGGTTTTGCCCAGAAACAATGTCATGGTATCAGTGGCACTTATTTTCTTTCTGCCATCACATTGCAACAGGCCAGCAACCTTACTTCACATGCTCAGGGGAGCTTTATTTGGGGTTCCTGGAATGATTTGCCTAGTGAAGTGTTAGTTTGGTGGCAGCATCATCCCTATCCAGGACTCTGAGGTTGTGTTATCAACCTCCAGGTGGTGCATGGAGCCAGTTTGGTGTAGTGGTTAAGTGTGCAGACTCTAATCTGGGAGAACCGGGTTTGATTCCGGCCAGCCCTCCACTTGCACCTGGCTGGATGACCTTGGGCAAGCCATAACTCTGGCACAGCTGTTCTTGAAAAAGAGCAGTTTCTGTCAAGAGTTCTCTCAGCCCCACCTATGTACCTCACAGGGTGTCTGTTGTGGGGAGGGGAAGGGGAAGGAGTTTGTAAGCCACTCTGAGACACCTTTGGGTAGTGAAGGGCGGGGTATAAATCCAATCTCCTCCTCTTCTTCTTCTCTAAGCTGAGTTAGTGTGAGCTAGCTCACAGTTTTTTAGCCTCCGGCTCACACATTTTGTCCTAGCTCAGAAAGGATGGCTTCAGAGCAAACTGATTTATGCGGCAGCCAAATCGCTCGTTCAGAACTTTAATGCCAGCAGCTCACAAAGGAGAATTTCTGCTCACAAGACTCCACAGTTTAGAGGGAGCATAGATTACACGACAGAGGACACTACGCCTGGGGGAAATTTGGAAGGTGGAGACTATGGTATCACACACACCACTGAGCTCTCCCCCTTCTCTAAACTTCCCCAAGGCTCCCCCCCCCCAAAATCTTCAGGGATTTCTGAAGCAGGAGTTGGCAGCCCCAGTCTGAGGCTTACCATAGCAGCTGCATTCTCTGCAGCTTCTCACCACACTTTGTGTTCAGTTGTGAGTCTGAAACAAGAGTCCCCAAATCTGATTGGCTTCTGCAAGGCTCTTCAGGCTTAGGTGGCGTCTCTGAACCATCTGGAGAGCCATTTTGTGTTCAGCTTTGGCCTCAGAACAGAAGTACCACAGGGCACTTGCTTCGTGCTGTGGGGCCAGAAGCATCCCTTGGTCCCCTGGTTTCATGCTGGGGTTTTATCAGATGCTGGCCAAGTCCCAGTCTCCTTGTTCCCTTATAAATCTGGTTTATAGAAGCTGTGCATCTCACCATGCCCAATTAAGAAAAAGCCTTGGCTTGGCTTTCCCTTTTTTAACAATGAACAACAAAACAGCCATTGCAGGCTGGCCCTGGAATGGCTTCTCTCACTTGGCATGACTCCCGGGGCCTGGGAGCTTTTTCCTTGCCATGCAAAGAGCAATATTAGCCCTCCAGCACACGCAACAAAGTGTGCACTCTGCAACACAGCCAGGCATCCAGTGGCCTGTGAGTCATGTCCCGTCAGGCCGTTCCTCTGGGGGGAAAAACATCCCTCCCTTTTCCCAAAGAACTCTCCACTGGTGAGTTACCATGTGGGCAGGATCCTCAGGGAAAGGTCTCCAAGGGCTGATCTGTGGATTTTGAAGGCGATGCACACTTCCCCCCTGGAGATCGCCCCCCTCCCCGGATGCAGACTTCCCCCCCTGTAGAAGGACTCCCATTGTGTTGGGCAGGTGCTGAGGGGTCTGCACCAGTTGCGAAGAGCCACCAAAACGTTGCAACGGGGCAGCTGGCTGCCATTCAACTTTCTATTGGTGCATCTTTGACAATGCCCGCCTGCCCATTTCTCAGCCGGGGAAGGAGCCCAGCGGTTTTCTGCCCTCTTTTCCAGAAGGCTAGAACTGTGTGTGTGGGGGGGTTCATCTGTGGGGGGTCCACCTCCTTGCCCCAGCAGCCTTGGGAGATTAAATATAAAACTCAAGCAGTGATGTGGACTGGAATGGCAGTTAGGCTATTGTGCCAAAATCTCCCAGGTGAAGGAGCCCCCAAGGAGGACAATGGAGAGCGTTTTGTTTCCATCCTGGAGTCCAGCTTGGCTATTGTTTGGAGCTCAGTGACCGTGCCTGGGACAATGGCTCCAGCTGAGTGAGGCAAACCTTGCCTTTGTCTCAGGGCTGAAAATAACCTGCGAACATAGATTTTCTCAAAGCAACATGTTCCAGAGAGGGCTGTAAAATTCTCAACAGGGTGCTCATAAATTGAGCTGAAATTCTTCTGTAATGGAGCTATAAAACGGCATCTTCCCTCCCAAGGCCAAAGTTCTCTTCCTTGTGCCAGTCGGATCCAGACTGCAACCAGTTTCACACCTGCCTGGCTGCACGTCTCTGTGTCTGTCTGTCTGTCTGTTTTTGTGTGTGGAAACGTGCATTTTTGCATGTGCTCTCTCTCTCTCTCTCAGGAGACAGGCATGTTATTTGTACCATGTGCCAATGCATGTCTATGGAGGATATGCACAGGGCTGGCATGCTGAGGTTGTCACATGAGAGCCAGTCCAGGGCAGTGGCCTGGGTTCAAATCCAGTCAGCCATGAAGCTCATTGGCCTTATGGCAGCAATGATCTCTCAGCCTATCTTTCCTTGCATGCTGACTGAGGATATAGGTAACCACACGTGCCACCCCGAGCTCCTTAGAGGAAGGGCAGAATAAAAACATGATTAATAATTATACACATTAATAAATCAATTGTACAGTTATGTGCAAGCTTAGATACACATTTGAAACTCACTGAATGAATGTTCTTGTGGTAACTTAGCCTTCTTCTTCAAGGCAGTGGCAAAGATAAAAGAGGTCTCTAGACACTAGAGAAATTATTATAGGGACTGTGAAGAAATGCATTTTTTTTTCCTTTGGAGGTTTGAAATGAGCAAATTCTTCACACTTGAGTTTTAAAAAAGTTCCCCCCTCTCTGGGCAGAGAAAGGGGGGGGGGTCAGTTCAATTGCTTTCCATACATACCTCAGCCCACCTTCATAACAATGCTAATAGGTCTAGCTAATGGTCTGATAGGTCTAGATAGTGGGATGGCCCTTCAAAGAGGGAACAGAGACTTGGAGGTGTTAAATACTAGAGAGACTTCAGGAAGGAATTCCTGAAGAATTTCCAGGAAAAGTTTCTCTGACCCGGCCTGACCTGGTCAGTGGGTGGGTAAAAGAGAGGTGATAAAACTCCTGGAAGCAAGAAGGAAGGTCCCCTTGGGGTTGAGTCCATCAGAGCAGACAGAACTCTTAACTAAGATCTGGAGGAGGCAGTTATTAACCACGTGCTGGCCTGAAGAGCTGGGAGAAGCTGCAAGGTAATGGTAGCTCTGTAGAGATCTATAACATCCTGAGCTAAGGAGCCTGTCCTGTATTTTGACATCTGATAGGGCGTGTATAGAGAGAGGGACAGAGGAATTGCATTTTACCCATTTCTTTTTAATCCCTTGCTCAATCTGGTGCTGTGCTAAAAGTATGCTTGTGAACATTTTCTCTTTAATAAATACTTTATAGCTTTTGATGGTGGTAGTGGTTCTCTGCACCACATAGACCTCCACAATCTTGGACATGCTATTTTAAAGGGAGTGCTGGGGTGAAGGCAGTAAATTGGCAGGTGGCTATTCCGCCGGAGGTGCACAAGGCAGTAAATGGTCCCCATGCTTACTGGGCAGCAGAAGACACAGAGGCAAGGCCTCAGAACTTGGAAGGCAAGCTGGGAGTCCTGAACCGGACCCTCCCAGCAGGCAATTCCTTACAAAGGTCAGGTGGTGGCACTGGTTGCCTGAGAGAGAGAGAAAAAAGCCTCTCCAGGTGTTGGGGAAAACCTTGGAGGGCAGGGTGGAACAGGGCCTGCAGGCCAGAGTGGGCCTATTATACCATAGCAACTAGATGCTTGCTGCCACGTTTTTGAGCAAGTACATGAAACTGAGCTCTTGGTGCTCCTTTCCATCAACGGCACGCATTCCATCCAGTTCACACCGTAGAGTGTGCAGTATATAAACGTTTGAGGTCTGGTGAACTTGGGGCTGTTTTGAATGCTGCCTGCTTGTTCAAGGTTTCCAAGAGCCAAGGCTGAGACTGAAGAGGACCACACCCAAGTGCAGCCACCAAAGCTGGGGCAGCTAATAGACAGGCAGGAGGGTGGAACTCCAGCTTACATTTGGAATCCATGACAGGATTTCCCAATATCTATATTTTTAGGTTAAAGAGTTGGATCAGGGCAGTACTGGAGCAGGAGGCACTAACCCTTTCCCTGGTGCTATTTAGGATTTCTATCAGTAGGGTTGCCAAATTTAATCCACTTACCGGCGGGGGAGTGTCTTCTCGCTCCGGGAGCTGGCTGGGCGTGCGCGCGCGCAGCCAGAACGTCACCAGAAGTGACGCGCGACGTAGCACGTTAGGGCGTGGACAAGATCGTCGAGGGGGAAACCATATGGTTCCCCCCCCCCCGATGATCTGGGCCACGCTCCCAACATGCCCTACGTCATGCGTCACCTCTGGTGACGCAGCTTCGGGGGGCGGGGTTCCCCCGGGGCCGAATTCCATCGCATCGGAAATCGGCCCTCCAAAGCGGGAGATTCCCCACCCCCTGGGCCCATTTGGCAACCCTATCTATCAGGGGTATAGTGGTACACCAGGGAAAGGATAACCCTACCACCACCACCTGTGTGCACCATGGCCCTAGTCAGAATTGGGGATCCCTGCGTTTGGTTTTTGAGACAGCTGTCAGCTTATTTTCCCCATCCTGCACCAACCTGAGTTCTGCTTGGATTAGAACATTTTGACTACCGGGGTTGTTCTTTTTCAATCACATTTCTAGTCCTCATGGCAGAAAGGACTGAAAATGTCTGGACAGCACCTGATGAAAGCTGATAAAAGTTTGCTGCTCGTGCAGCTGAGCCATTTTCCCTGCAGAGGCAGAGCACATTGGGATTGTGGCCACGCACATCCTACTTTTGCTTGTTTGTCTGCCTGTCACTCCCAAGCATCTCTGCTGCAGCAGCAGCCTTGGTATGACTATTTTCTTGGTCCGGCAGTCCAAGCTGCTGTAGGACCATGCATTCTATTGTCATCCTTCTCTTGAATAGTCAGCATCTATCCTAACAGCAGAGGTTTTCCTCTCTCTATAGCCAATCATAAAGGCCTGATTCCACCCTGGGAGAAGGCTGGATTTCAGCCAAGAGGTATGCAGAATGTTGTAACAGGTTTCTTTTTGGTCCTCCCTTCTAGGTGAGAAGCCCTACAAGTGCACGTGGGATGGCTGCGACTGGCGCTTTGCCCGCTCGGATGAGCTCACCCGACACTACCGCAAGCACACCGGAGCCAAGCCATTCAAGTGCATTGCTTGTGGCCGCTGCTTCTCCCGCTCTGACCATCTGGCTCTGCACATGAAGAGGCACCAGAACTAAAGACTGGAGCACCATTGTCCCACAGTGGTTCTCCCCGCTCTCATTTTGTACATAAGAACCAAACCTCACTGTGATCAAATGGCTACACATCTGGATGAAAGAAAATCAAGCCACAGAAGGGGAATGGCATTCCAGAGCTCCATCTCCAGAAAACGTGCCACTTATTTTGCCCTTCAAGTGACCTTTCCACCTGCTTCTCTGGTGGGGCGTTTTGCCTCCTGAGGAAAGGCGACCCTAGGATGTTCGGGCCTTTGGCTGAAGGTCCCTTCTACAGGCTGATGGGTTTCAAGGATCATACAGAGCTTTTGTGGCCCTGACCTGTTTGAAATGTCAAGTTGGAGCAAATAACCTCACGACAACTACCACAGTCCCCTGGTTGACTGAGATGCACCTCTGCCTCAGTTGCTCCATTCAAGGGGTGGGGGTCAATGGGGCAGCCTTGCCTCTGTCATTAGACACTCCTGAGAGAAACGCCACACACGGCTCCCGTTCCCATCACAGGCTCGGATTCTAACCTGTTCATGAGGACCATTGGATGGTGGAGGAAGATGTTGGGCAAACACCATGGAAAAACACCACATTGGTTCCCATAATATTTTGTGCCACTGCTCTCCCGGAATGCATTGCTAATCTGCCTTTTGACATGAGCACAAGAAATATATTTTTATTTTTTTGCTGTGGCCAGATATGGATTTCCCCAAATTTTAAAAGCAGCCTTGGAAACAAGTTCTGGTCATTCTTCAATCCCTAGATGGATTGTGCTGTTCCCCCCCCCCCCAAAAAAAAGTTCATGGAGTGGGAGAAAGTGCTGCTACTCATGCTGAGAAGATTCCAGGATTCCCCTCAAGAATTCCAGGGAATTAATTAGACAGACAGACACTGAAATGGCACAGAAGCACCAGCAAGGATGATGACAAAGTACACTCCAGTTCAGATTCCACTTCAGTGCCCTCTGGATTTAGCCCCTCCCATGTTCTCTTGCGGAAGCAGGCTCTTTGGGTCGCCCTGGACTATCTGTCAAGAAGGACTAGTTGGCCATCTCTGTGGCACACACCTTCCACCCAGTGCTCCCTCTAAGCTGTGAGTCTTGTGAGCAAAAATTCTACTTTGTGAGCAACTGGCATTAAAGTTGTGAGTGAGCGATTTGGCTACTGCATACATTAGTTTGCTCTGGAGCCATCCTTCCTGAGCTAAGACAAAAATGTGTGAGCTGGAGGCTAAACCCCTGTGAGCTAGCTCACACTAACTCAGCTTAGAGGGATCACTGCAGTCCCAGCCCCCCTCTGAGAAGCTTTCGTTCTGACTCTGGCAAAAGACAGCTGTCCTAGCTATGCCCAGAAGCCAGCCAACAGGGATGGTCATAGCTGTAGCCAACACAAAAGTGGATGTGAGCACATGTTTGGAACATGCACCCTTTTGCTTCTGTTGCCCCATCAGGGCATAATGTGTCCATGCAGCAAGCACTGCCCTCACTCTGACTGCATGGATCTGGGGAGCTCTGGCAGAAATAAGGCCTTTTGCTGCAGTTGGTTTACTGTACAGCGAGGAAGGATTGCATGCACATTCCAGCATGGAGGCATGTGGGTGGATAATCTAGTGCCAAGTTTTCTTTCATTCCTCTTTGGTGCCAGATAGGTGGGCACAATGTATGAGTTGACGGGTCTCATTCATTTCTGGGTCCTTGATTTGCTTTGTACAGCTCTAAACTTTGTTTCAAGGCCACAGCGATGAAAGGAGCCCATAGATCCCAACTGTTTGCATCTGCCAAGTATTAGCCCTGGTGGGCCCCAAGGGGGCTTTAAGCAGGGGAATAAAAAGGAAAATCTATTAGTGACATGTTAATACTTGGTGCCTTAAACTACGTTAGATTCAGATCACAGTCCAGCCCAGATGGCATCTTCTTGATTCATTTTTAAGTCTCACAAGTGCCAAAGGCAGAGAGTTACGCATGTGTTGAACTTATCAGTTGAAGTCAATGGGATTTAACATTTAGAGTAGCCATACTGGATCAGAGCAAGTGTCCATCTAATCCAGCATCCCATTTGCAACACTGGCCGGTCAGATGTTACAGAGGTGCCTGCAAGGGATGATCATAGGTATTTTGCCTCTGAATCTGAAGGTCTCATTCAGCCATCATGGCTAATGATAGACTTCCCCTCTTCAAAATCCATATAACTCAGTGGTCATTGCTACATCTTGTGGCCATGAGTTCCACAAGACTACCCAATGTGTACTTCCTTACAAGGGCTTCCTTACCAGGGCTTGACTTTGGCTGAATAATGCTCTTCTTTTTTTCCCCTGCTTTCAAAATGGTAACATACTGAAATTCAAATTCATAAAATATTCAGATTTGTAAACAAGGAGCTTGTGCAACATGTTGTTTGGAAGCTGGCCATCTTGCTTTCCTCCGGTTTTCAGCTGGAGACCTCCTTGACTGACCTCAGCCCTCCTCAGCCACATCATTGTTGTCTGGAGGATGTTTTCTGGGGGTTTTCCTGCCGTGCTCATCAGCCCTCTGCCCAAAGCTTCATGTGGAGGCATTCCTCTGTTCTAGATTCTAAGGTTATGGTGGTTCTGATGCTTCGCTGTTAGTCTGCAAGTGCACTTACTGAGAGCAGGATGAGAGCTCAGAGTGCAGGTGCCTGTCAGACATATAGCTTCATTAATGCAAATGCAACAAGAGACCTCTCCTGCCTTTGTGTACCATTTTGTGTCTTCTAAGTAACTTCAAAAGGCACTTTTCTAGGCTTCATGGTTGTTGGTTGCAAATGGGCACAGCACTTAGCTTAAATCAGACAAACTCCAGGAGCTTTGAGGCTTCAGTGGTTTTCAACTACTTCGTGGCAAAAGCCCTCCTTCCCCCCAAAAAACGTATGTAGCCAAATGAAAAGGTGCAAACCAAAGAATCAAAGCAAATGTTCTCCAGAACCTGTCTTCTCTCAGTGCAGAATGCAGGGTCATTTGGTGCAGCCGGATTGAACAGAATGTTTGAAGCATTTGCTTCTGAATATTTAAATGCCAAGGGTGAGGGCTGTTGTCCTTATGACCCACTTGCAGCCTTCCCTTGGGCATCTGGCTGACCACTATGGGGGCCAGGATGGAGCAGATAGATTCTTGGTATGATCCTGCAAGATTCTCCTTGGTTTTTAATGAAATCTGTATGCTCTTCTTCCCCTTCTTGGGGGACGGGCTCCATCATTAAAAGCATGAGCAGGATAATGCAAGCTAAAAGTTGGAGGAAGCTGTTATCAATCCCTTTTCAGGGAGGCTAACAGGCTCTGCTGAGGAACTTTCAGGCCAGCAGCAAGACCAGGGAGATGGCTGGAAACTCATCTTCTCCGCACCCGCCAGTGTCATGCACAACAAAACGCAGGGCTCCAATGTCTTCCGTGATTTCTTTGCATGCTCCCCAAATGTGGGGGCACCTGTGTATATACAAAGAATAGCTGTACAGAATTGTGTAAGTGCACACATCACAGAATTGTGCTTTCCTTCTCTTTTATATATATATATGTGAACACAAAATAGAACCTGGAAAACTGTGGTGGGTGGAAGGGTTGTCTTCTGGGAGTTTTTGTTTGCTTCTTTTACTAAATAACTATATTTGTTAATTTACCTAATGTTTTATAATAAAATGATGCTAGTAAAAGGGTATGATATTCATCCTTCAAAAGACTCATCTCATTCCTGAAGCAGCCTCCGCCCACCCAAATAACCATGCAGCAATTTGACCCAGCCAGGAGAGTCCAAACCCACTTTCTCCCTAGATGGACGAGGGAATAGAGGATTCACTTCACTGCACAACTGGGATGTCTGAATGTTTCTGAAATCCCTTCTGGTCAGCATGACAACAGTAGGCAAAACAGTATGGTATACTCAACCGGTGTGCAGGTTTCACAGAACTCATCAGGCAGAACAGAAAGTGGCAGCTTCTCCTTGCGCTGAATGAGGACTTCTGTGACACTCAGAGGCTGACTCCAATTTTGTTTCTTCTTCAGCTCAGCATCCACATCTCCCTGCTAAACCCAATTGCGGGATCTTCCCATAACTTGGACCAAGGAAGAAAATATACCCCTTTCCCACTGTTTTGGGAGGAAGGCTTGGAAGAATGAATATCTCTCCCTTGTCTCTAAAAAAAAAAATGGGGAAAAAGTCAGCCTGCTGTTGCCAGTGTCTTGGGCATATGGTCCACGCAGGAGTTCAGCTCCACCTGTACATAACAGAATAAACATCTTTGTATTACCCAAAGGCCCAGGGGTCAGTGTCTCTCTCTTCTAGCAGTGGGCAGGGAGCAGTGCACTCCATCCCTTCCCTGCAAGGTCTACCAGCTTCTCTTGCAAGCTGACATTCTAGCCTTTGTACTGGGGGCCAAAAAGAATGCTTATATATACAGAATGCAACATCTTTTAAAATACATGCATACAAGGCAGGGGGTAGTGATTCTGGGGGGCCCCTGCAAAACTCAGAGATGGGGCCCCAGAATTGGGCAGTGTGTGTGTGGTGGGGTCAGGGTCAGCTGTAGGGTGAGCAGCGGTAGTAGGGAGGTTGGGAGACCCCACCACCACCCTTCAGGTGATCGCCCTCCACTGCCGCCAGAGTCTCAGGCGGTGTGGGGATCAGCAGTGATTTGCAGCAGCGGGGATTTCAGCTGGTTGCAGGGCAATGTGGGTTCCTGGTGTGGCGCCTCCGTCAGTGGTGCTGTTGCAATGGCCCTGTGGCTAATACAAGCCCAATAGGACTGGAAGCCAGTGAGGCCACTCTCAGTTCCTTTGAAGGAGCTCTTAAAAGGACCCTATTTGCCTCCCCTTTCCCAGCATTTAAGGAAGCTTTAAAAACTGAGCATATGGAAACCCTCCCTGCCAAACGTTTGGAGTTCCGCCGGCATTGCTTGCCAATGAGCCATTTCAGATTTGCCGGCATTTAAATTAGCAGTCAGATGCAAGCAATGAATCTGGACACTGTCTGAGGCTCTGGGAGCAGTGACAGCTCAGCAAGGTGGAGGGGGCAGGGAGTGGCTGTCCTACAGTCCTCCCTTTCAGTCTGTGTCTCGGTCTCTGACGGGGTCAGTGAACCATTGCATTCTTGCAACGCCCCTTTCCCAATGAAGTGTGCAGACTCCCTCAGAAAGTATAGCTAAAAACAAAGTGAGTACCCTAGAGGGGGCATAGCCCAGCAGTAAGCTGAAACCAATTTGGAGATCAGTTGTTGAGTCGGGTTGCCAGCTTCTGGTTGGGAAATACCTGGAGATTTAGGGGCTGAGGCCTGGGGAGGGTGGGGTTTGGGGAGGGGAGGGACTTCAGTGGGTCTAAAGCCATAGAATCCATCTTCTAAAGTGGCCATTCTCTCCAGGTGAACTGATCTGTCAGCTGGAGATCAGTTGTAACAATGGGAGATCTCCAGCCACCGCCTGGAGGTTGGCAACCCGAGTTGCGAGGCAAGCCACACTTCGGCTCCCTGGGGCATCGGATCTGCAAAACAGATCCTGTTCCTTGTGCCTGGGTAGACGTCATAGAGGGGCCTGCCAGGGAGTTTCTGGAAGGTCACACTCAGATTTCACATGAATACCTGACCCCTGAACCTCTGCAGGAAGGCAGAAAAACCAGAAACATCAAAGAGGGCCTGGCCGGTTGTCTGAGGACATGGGGGAGGGGGCTACCCAATGAGCTGGCCTCTTCAGTGAACTTTCACCTGTGGAGCTTGTTGGAACATATAAAACTCTGGAGTGAGGAGAGGGATGGCCCCAGAGCTGCAAATACAACACAGCTGCAGAATAGAAATAAAACACTGCAGAGTGGATGTCCTTTGGGGCAGAGGCTGCCTGGACAAAGCTGCCTTTTCCTGAGTCACACCCTTGGTCTATCCAGGCCAGTATCTACTGACTGGCAGCAGCTCTGCAGGGTACCTGGCAAAGGTCTTCTCCATAATCTATTACCTGATCCTTTGAACTGGAGATTCCGGGGATTAAACCTGGGGCCTCTTCTGCATGCAAACCAGGCGCTCTGTTTCTGAACCAAAGGCCCCCCCCCCAACTAATTTTTGATTTTGCTGCAAGTTGTCATTCTCATGCTCAGCCCCTCCCATCCCATGTGATTAATACTAGAGGCACTTTCAAGA